ACGGACGCGGCCGAAAAAAAAAAACCCGGTTTAGATGTTCTATGTTGGTACTAATTAACCTGCTGGATGTAATTGCTATGGCACTCTCTTACTTCTAGAAGCCAGTCTAAGAAATATTGTTCCTTTACCTTCTCGATCCCCTTCAGTCTGGATTTCTCCCACGACACTCCACAGAAACTGCTCTCCTAAAACTCACAAACTACTTACTAACTGCTAAAACCAATGGTTCCTATTCCGTACTCTTGCCCTTGGACCTCTCTGCTGCCTTTGACACAGTTGACCACCCCCTCCTCCTCAAAAATCTATTTACTTGGCCTCCATGACTGTACTCTCCATTGGTTGGAATCTTCCCCATCTCACCGCACCTTCAATGTCACTTACAACTCTACTTCCTCCTCTCCAACTCCTCTTACTGTAGGGGTCCCCCAAGGTTCTGTCCTTGGACCTCTCCTATTCTCCATCTACACATCTTCCTTGGGTCAGCTAATAGCTTCCCATGGTTTCCAATACCATTTCTATGCTGATGACACACAAATCTCTCTACTCCTCAGCTCACCTCATCAGTTTCCTCACGCATCACCGATTTACTCACAGACAGACTGGATGTCACACCACTTCCTAAAACTCGATCTATCCAAAACAGAGCTCATAATATTTCCTCCCCACGTTCCTCTTTCCCTGATTTCTCAGTCAGGATCAATAGCACCACATCAACCCATCCCTGCATACCAGGATGCTAGAGGTAACCCTGGATTCTGAACTATCCTTTCAGGCCCACATCCAATCCCTGTCCAAATCATGCCGCCTCAACCTCCATAACATCTCTCCAGAATACGCCCCTTTTTAACCAATGATACCACAAAGCTCCTAATTCACACCCTGGTAATCTCTCGCCTCGACTACTGCAACTCCCTCCTCATTGGCCTACCTTTACATAGGCTATCCCCCCTCCAATCCATCATGAATACTGCTCATCCACCTTACCAACCGTACAGTGTCTGCTACCCTCTCTGCCAATCCCTCCACTGGCCTCCATTCGGTGTCCTCCATCCCTCTCTGCCATCCCTCCACTGACCTCCACTCAGTGTCCTCCATCCCTCTCTGCCAACTCACTGGTCTCCACTCAGTGTCCTCCATCCCTCTCTGCCAATCCCTCCACTGACCTCCACTCAGTGTCCTCCATCCCTCTCTGCCAATCCCTCCACTGGTCTCCACTCAGTGTCCTCCATCCCTCTCTGCCAATCCCTCCACTGGCCGCCATTCGGTGTCCTCCACCCCTCTCTGCCAATCCCTCCACTGGCCTCCATTCGGTGTCCTCCATCCCTCTCTGCCAATCCCCTCTCTCCACTCATGTCCTCCATCCCTCTCTGCCAATCCCTCCACTCATTCGGTGTCCTCCATCCCTCTCTGCCAATCCCTCCACTGGCCGCCATTCGGTGTCCTCCACCCCTCTCTGCCAATCCCTCCACTGGCCTCCATTCGGTGTCCTCCATCCCTCTCTGCCAATCCCTCCACTGGCCTCCATTCAGTGTCCTCCACCCCTCTCTGCCAATCCCTCCACTGACCTTCCATTCAGTGTCCTCCACCCCTCTCTGCCAATCCCTCCACTCAGTGTCCTCCATCCCTCTCTGCCAATCCCTCCACAGGCTTCCAGTGTCCTCCATCCCTCTCTGCCAATTCCTCCACAGGCTTCCAGTGTCCTCCATCCCTCTCTGCCAATCCCTCCACTGGCTTCCACTCACCCAACGAATAAAATTCAAAATACTAACAAAAACTTGCAAAGCCACCCACAACTCTGCCCCCAGCGACATCACCAACCTGGTCTCCAAATATCAACCAAACCGCTCTCTTCGATCCTCCCAAGACCTTCTGCTCTCTAGTTCCCGTGTCACCTCCTCCCATGCTCGCCTCCAGAACTTCTCACATCCTATGGAACTCCCTACCCGAATCTGTTCGGCTGTCTCCTAATCTAACCACCTTTAGACGATCCCTGAAAACCTCTCTCTTTAAAGAAGCCTGTCCTGCGTCTACCTAGTAAACCGCCATTTATCTCCTCCATCAGATCATCCCCCCACAGCTATTACCTTTTGTATCACTCAACCCTTCCTCTTCGATTGTAAGCTTCCAGGATCAGGGCCCTCTGTTTCCTCTTGTACCAAATTGCATTGGAACTGTAATGTCTACCTTCATTTTGAAAAGTGCTGCGCAAACTTGGCGCTAATTTACTGCTTAGGCAAGAACCAAAACAGAGCACTATCTGCAACTCCATTTCCAGAACTCATCTATGGTGATGCATTACCCTTAGAAATGATACCTGCCACCAATAGGACAAGAAACAAAAATTGTAACACAAGGAGCCTGAAGCAGAAGTTTCTTCAGAAAAGTTTGTATCCCTCCAAATGATTGGGTTCAGGGGATTCCAGTGAAGACTACTGTTTGTGCTACACCATGCAGACATGTTAGACGATTGCGCATGGTCAACCTGGCGATAGCAGTCTGA